GTACTGTCGTTCAATAAACATTACGGAGAACCATTGTAAAAGTAATCCATACGACACAGTAAATATAATAGAGTAATAAATTCTATCAGAATTCTTTGTTGTTTTTTTCCTGCAGCTTTTAGTTATTTCCCTAACAAGCGGTAGCACATGCTCTAGGTTTTGTGACGATGGTGACTTCTACATCGCAGTAAAACTTCGTATGTTCCCAGCGTACAAATGAAATGAACCGGTAACTCTGACAACTTAAAGCTAGCTTGTCCGCGGAATGTAAAAAAAAAAGTGGTGGTTTCCGCTGCTCAACGAAGACATCAGTCCAAGGGCAGGTTACTTGTTCGGAGATTCAATCAGTTGACATCGGTATTGGAAACGGTTGAGCTAGTGAGCTTTTTCAGTTTCCATAAAAGTGATCTTTCATCAAATATATGGGGGAGAAGTGTAACTGTAGCTATTTTTTCAGTATTTGAAAGATTGGAGTGCAATTGAGTTTTCGCAGACATGTATGGGGGAATGAACCTAATACACTCATGTGTTGTACATTTTATATCATTTTTACTTTCTCGCACTTCATAAGAAGAGAACGTTATGTAATTGTGCGGTGGACAACGTTGCATTTTCGGAAGAAAAACATTTATTGCAATGCCCTGGTAACGAAAAAGAGGATAAACCCTGTTGCTATAATATGTATAGTAAATTACTGCTTCTAACACGTGGTATAACGAGGATCCATGTTTTTGGGCGTCGTAGATGCTGAACAATCATTGACGGCAATACGACTGTCTGTCCCTCCGTCGACGCTTTGGGAGTTTCAGCTGGAAAATTTTATTTTTAGGGTTCTTTGCATGAAGTGTCAAAAATATTGTCAACATTTTGTTAAAAATGGCACCAAATTTGTTATTAAATTTTGTTCTCCAATAGCGGAAAGGACGCTTCAGAGAATGATGTTCGTTGACATCCTAGATTTATATAACTACAATATTCTAGATAGAGATTCTTATCTTCCCTTTTGCATACGTATATTCGGAGTTTTATTCGTAGTACGGGGAAAGTTATGTTATGCTGCGGAAAACAGATTTCGAGATTGCATCGAAAATACACTTTTGGGGTCCCCTGATACCCAAAAATTGTTGTTTTTTCAGAACGTCCGTCCGTCCGTCCGTCCGTCCGTCCGTCTGTCTGTCCGTCCGCTTGTCCGTCTGCCCGTCCGCTTATCCGTCTGTCTGTCCTTCCGTGTGTGAACACCATTAGCTCCTAAACCATTCTTAAGACTTTTTCCAAATTCAAGAAACCCTTATCCATAAGGCTCCAGTCCAAACTTTGAGATTTAAAAAAAAATCTTTAAAATTTAGGGGTACTTTCCATGAAGCCCACCGGATATTTCCAAATTTATTCAAAAACGGCTCCAATTTGTATCTTAAAATTTATTTTAAAAATGGAGTGAAATAGAGTAAAATATACTTATAGGTCCGATATTTACGGTTAACTCTGAATTTTTGATAATTGAAAAAATTTGAATGGTTTTTGGCGTCTTCCTACAACTACAAAATTGAAGACAGGCATTTTTACTTCAAATAAAATTTGTTCTCCATAATTCTTTCGCTAAGGTCATGTATATTTTTTTTAGCTCCAATTTTTCCTTTTAACTTTGGTAGGAATAGTGCTAAATGTACCCCATAAGATGGCATAAACGACATATATAACGCTCTGTTCTTTTGTTTCGAAATGAAGCCGTTTTTGAGACAATCTTGTTTTTGTTACTTTTTAATATTGCACCAGAACTGACTATGGAGAACAAATTTTCCCTGAAAGAAAAATCTCTACCTTCAATTTTGTAGTTGTAAGAAGAAGCCAAAAAAATTCCAACTTTTGCAGTTTTCGAAAATTCAGAGTTATTCCTGAGAATCGGACCGGAATCGGTGTATCTTGCTCCCTTTCTTACAAGGTATTTAAATAAAATATTTGGAGCCGTTTTTGAGAAAATGTTGGAAATATCCCAGAGGTTTCATGTAAACTACCCCCAAATTTTACAGACTTTTTTCAAAATCGCAAAGCCTCGACTCCAGCAAGATAGGCAAGGCTTTCCTCAACCTCAAAAAAATCCTATGCATGATTTAGGCGCTAGTGGTTTTCACAGACGTACGGACAGACTAGCGGACAGACAGACAGACGTTTTTTTAAAGTTTTGTCTTCGGTATATGTCTTAAGGAGAAAACGCGGCTTTTTCGATTTGTTTTCCTCTATGACAAAAAAATTTCAGGTCGATAGTTTTCCTGGACACCTTTCCTAGTGGCAAAGGGCGGGAGAGGTAGGTTTGGTTCCATATGAGGGACCATAATTCGTCTCTGTCTCCAGAAGGGGCGGGTCCAGCCGATAATTTTGGAGAAGGCCATCCTAGATTCTTGTTAAATAATTAACATTTATTATATTTTACATTATTTATGTACTGTAGATATATAACATACAATATTACTGTTTAAAGAATTGCATAATTCGACCATAAATTTATATACATATATATATGTGTATATATATGTATATATATACATACATATGTATATATATGTATATATATATGTATATATATGTATATATATGTGTATATATATATGTATATATATGTGTATATATATATATATATATATATGTATGTATATATATGTGTATATGTATTTCAAATAAAAGAAGGTAAACGAAAACTCTAGGCCTTTTGAGTCCATGGCCCCTCTGGATCCACCCTCCCCGTCATGGAGTCCATTGGGTAGTGAGGGTTGCCACGGAGATTAGTGGCAGATGACAAAGCGATGCCTCGCCGCCTCTCACTCTGGAGTTCAGTCGAAGGCCTAGTCAAAGCTGATTGATCGGGAGTATTAGTTTCATGATCACTCCTCTAGAAGAGTCCGAGGCCAAAGATAGTATAATGTATAGATAAAAAGCATAGAACATGAAGCTTATTAACGTGAAGATACACAAAATCGCAGCCAGTGGCGGTAGGACACATTATAACGTTATTATTCTTGACATGGAACACCAGTAAGTCCAAAGAAATCATTTTTTCCAGCTTGTGATAGTGATCGATTATTTCGCGTTTCCAGAAGCGTCATTATAGTACATGTTTGAACATGGGAGATAGTGATATTCGTCTCCCACTATATGGCAAGCCGATCCGCCGATCCACACATGGGTTTGAGGGGTTTTCCTCGTCCTGATATCTCCTACCAGCTGGGCACTGCCTCGCAGGGACAAGCTCTAAGCCTTCGTCGTGTGTGGTAGTACAGCGCATCTAAGTGTAAGTGTGAGTACGTAAGGGATGTGGAAAGGAGAATGAAATGGATGGAACAGCTCGCATGTAATCCGTGGCCCGTTTGTTAGAGCGCTTCTCCGGCATTCGCCAGGTGATCATCGGAGAAACCATAGAAAATGACCGATCAGATCAGTCGACCACTAGAATTCTTCTCCAGATAGAGGCAGAATACGACCTAGTTACCTAGCTTGTGTCGAAAATCCTGCTACCGACGGAGCCCGATTCTAGGGCCTCCCGGTCAGAGGCACTGCAGTGTCAACAAATGACTTGAGCCTCCACTGTCGGTCAGGATGTGGTTGCGAAATGACCTAGAATTAGAATGTTCAGTCACCAACGTGACCACAAGACTTGATAAACACAGGACAAATGTGTGTTCAGTCCTGAAAAGCTCTGTGCTCTCCGTACTAAATGATTTGCTTTGTCCTTCTTCTAACATATTTTATATTATATAATACATATTTTATATTACTACTACAAGCTTGTTACATGTAGTTTAAAAACTCTTAAAATTTTGTAATTATTGTACATTATGTCACTAACTATTTGTTAAAATCTTACATACTAATTTTTTAAATTTTGTTTTTTTATTTGCAATTGATTATATATGATTTTACTGGTATGTTGTTCTTATGATGAATAAATGTGGAAACAGTAGTTTTTCTACTTCAATTTCATTTTCATTTGGAAATATTGCAGTACATTTTTAAATTAATATTATAGAATTAAAATGACATTAGATCACATAGGGACATTATGAAAGATGACGAACTTGTATCATTTACAGGAACCATTGACAAAAAATCTAACTATGCAATTGCTATTGCAAGAATTGCAAGAATATTGCAAGAATGCAATCACTATTTATCATAATCCCGGAGTTAAAGATCTTTCAGAAAATGTAATGGAAGTTCTGTACTTGTATTCTACAGGGAAATATGAAAAAGGAATCCTGCTTTCCACCTTACCTTGTAAACGTAACGTACCCAATAATAATTATTACCATGGTTATGATTTATGAAAGGACACATGCCATTGTCAGACTTTTTGTATTTTTCTAGACTTCATGTCAGAATTTTAATAAAAACGAACGTATAATATTACGCACCTTCTTCTTTGAGAGAAAACATTTTTTCCCCAAAAATTTCAAAAAAATAATTAATTATTTAAATTTTTGTGGTACTTTACATATCTTAATTCTTTTCAAAACGGCACATCTAGATCGTTCTCCTAAGGTATTTGATGTTCTAGCCTCTAGCTTCTAGCCTAATAGAGTTATGAGAGACACATCCATCAATTCATACACGCACATTGATTTTTGGGTACAAACCTCCTTACTGCGGTATTTATAGTCTTGTTAAATCTTAAATCTACGTCTAGGTATCCTCACCCATATTCGGACGGCCCGCCTCGAAACCCCTCCGCCCTCCCGCTGCACGAGGCGCGCGCGAAGCCACGGTTCTTCTTCCGCCGCCGCCGCCGCCGCCGCCGTTCCGCCACCACACCACCACCCACCACCACCACCACCACCACCCACCGCCCACCAACCCACCACCCACCACCCACCACCCGCCGCCACCGCACCGCCACCGCCAACCGCCACCGCCACCGCCACCGCCCACCGCCACCGCCACCGCCACCGCCACCGCCACCGCCGCCGCCGCCGCCGCCGCCGCCGCCACCGCGACCAACGCAGCCAGTTGCACCACGGCTGCCGCGACGCGCGCACCGCCTACTGCCTGCTTCCTTCGGTGCCACCGCCGCCGCAGCCGCCACTACCACCCGCGCCTCGTGACCCTCTTCACGCGCGCAGCTGCAGAAGCGTTGCCAGCGGTCAATAGTCGGGCCCATCTAGACTGTCAGTGCTGCTTTCATTAGGCGGTGTCGTTGTGCGGTCGATGCATCATTCGAGTGAGAGCAGTCGTGAGAACAACTAGCAGTTCAAGAGAATGGTACCTCTGAACCAACAATAATTGAATTAATCTTTGAGAACTGAAGGCTTCTAAGTTTTCAACGCAAATAACATAGCAATCTTCATATTGCGTGACTCAACTAATCTGGCGAGATGCCAAATTCAGCCAGGCCCTTCTTGCTCCCGGTGAATGCAGTTGGACAGGACGACAGCCTGTCTAGCGTCGCTAGCGACGATAGCGGCCTAAGCGTTCCTGCCAGCCTTAGCTCATCTAGCAGTATTCGCAGCAACAGAAGCGCCACCGGAGAGAACACGATCGGCAGCAGCAGCGCTAGCCGCAGTAACAGCGCTACCGGCGATAGCCACGATATCGGAAATGGTAGCGCTTCCAACAATAGCAGCGCCGCCACCCCCCACAGTAGAGGCCCTATGGATGCGACGCTCTCGCACCCACCCCGTTACACTGACGGCCATCAACGCGACGCTCAACCGCGAAACAGAAGGCAGACGAGGGCGGTGCCTGTAGGGCACCATCCGCGCCCGCAGCCTCGCCAGCAAGTGTCTCCACCACAAGCAATGGAAGAAAATCCCAAGACCGTTTGGTTGACGATTCTGGCATCAGCTCTTCTGATTGGGGCTTTTTTCTTCTTTCCGGGTGCTCGTAGAGGGCTCGCTTAAGAGGAAGAATGTCTTCCAACTACATTTACATCGAAGTGAATTTTCAATGGGGGTTTGATGTGTTCAACTCGTGTTTCTTTCTGCAACTGTTTTCGAATATTACGCATGCGTAGAATGACTTGACTTTCTTGAATGTAACGTTACGTAAAATGGGGCTCTTGTATAATCGCACTAAGTTGATGATTTCAGCCATGGTGCTACCTAGTAACTACTGTAACATGAACAGAGGTGTCTTTACAGAACAGTGTATATTTGTGATTTTTTTTTACATTGCGCTTCGTGATATCCGACTTCAAATTCAGGTGAGCCAAAGTATATGGTTTTATTCTTAGTCACTGCCATCCATCGTTAAACAATCTTTAGCGACCACACAAAATAAAATTAATAAAGTATATTCACGATTGGTATGAACATTAAAATACATTCCTTCCTCCAGACTTTGTTAATTTAGCTTATTTTGTCATTAATATTTACAAGCCTTATGATGTCTTAATTTCGTGAGAAAACACCATTAATTAAAATACATTATTAGTAGGGCTGTGATTTATACGCAATAAAAATTACTAAATATGCACATAATGTAAATTTATTAGGTAGTATATGCAAATAAGGAAGGAAAATATCCAAAATAATGTAACCGAATGTGTAAGTGTAAAAATAAATAAAAAGTGTAATGGGAAAAATATGTTTACAGCAAAAAATAAAGATATCATATAAATTGTTACAAGCGACTAACAATACCTCAAGGACTTAATTTTGAAGAACACTAATTTCTAAGAAAAATAATGGTAGATGCAGTTAATGTACATTTCACAAAATAAAAAAAAAAACAGTATAGGTATTGGAACAAAAATATGATTTCCTGTGAATTCACAGGCCTGACTCTTTCAGCACCGCTCCACGTTCGCGCCGTGTGTGGGCACGCGTAGGCGCTCGGCGGATGCAAACATTTCCTTTCGACTGCCACTGCCGATAACAGGGCTCAGCGTGCTTCCAGAGCGACAACACTGTTCCGTGGCTATGGCAAGCTAAGAAGTCTTCGGAAGCCCATTGCTCCAGAGCAGGTCACTTGATGTACAATTGCAAGTGGCGAGAGAACTGTCACTTTTGGGCTTCTTTTCGCGGATGAGGGATGCAATTATGGTGATATATGCGAAATAAAAACAGCTTAAATTGATTCTAAATGCCTCAAAACTTACCTACTCGGTTTTACATTAATACAATAAATAGCAAGCACTAGTACTGTAGTAACAAGCACTGGATTTTGTGACGATGGCGTCTTCTCTCGTAAATCGTATTTAACTTTTATCTGGCCCCTGAGCACAAAGTAAATGAATTGGTAAAAATGACAGCTACTGATCCGGAGCTTGTCAGGCGACTGCAAAGGAGTGGTGGCCTCCGCTGCTTGACGAAAGAATCAATCCAAAGGCAGATTGTTGAGCTCGGCGATTCAAGCTACCGCTTCAATTGATTTGTAAGGGTTGCGTAATTGAGCTATTCCAGTTTCCGTAGAATTGTACCTTCGTCAAGTATATGGGGTTAGAAATGTAACTTGACCACTTCTTGCATTTTTTGAACCGTCAGTGATATTGCAATTGCGTTTTCCCAAACATATATGAGGGAATGAACTTAATCGGTTCATGTATTGCATAAGTTTATATTATTTGTAAAATATTACGGTCAAGTACATTTATTTTACGTAATAAAAATTAAATGTTTGGGGCTAGATACGAAGAAGTCATATTTTCTTAATTTTTGAAAATGTTTATCGATCATGTTGATATTGCAAATGAGATTAGTAAAACCATCTTTAACCTTTATCAAGCGATGGCACTAACAGTCACTTATAGTGTTTCAACCGTTGGTTTTATTGAGCTCTCGACCTCCAGAACTTCTCGGTCGGATGCATTCTGCGACATGAAGTGATGCCCTGAGCCACCTCAGCCAAGATTACGTCATCACCTTCCAAAGCCTACGCCCTGAGGTCCCGGCGCTGTTTTCTCTGTGGTTTGCGGTGCATGGAAGGGCGATGCTGCACCACACCTCTTCCTGTTATTCCCAGTTCTTTCGCCAGGGAGGCGCGCCTCCGACATCCTGTTTTTTTTCCGTTTTTTTTCTGCGTGTGCCGCGGACAACAAGCATCTTAACTCAACATTGCGCAACTTCACTGAATATTGCGCAACTTATCTTGTAAACTCAATATCAAAAGAAATGCACAATAAACTAGTGGTGCTAAATCAACACATTTTCTCGCTCTTTGTAATGATTACATTATACTATTTTTACTGCAATTTCTCTCCAAATAACCTATTACAATCATCAATTTTTTCTTTATTTCCAAATCTATCCTTAAGGAACATATTTCATTAAGGGAAACAATCTCTATCATTAATAGTTAGTTGTAGGAATATGCCGAAAAAATTTTGAATTTTTGCAGTTTTGAAAAATTAGGGTATTCAACGAACACGAGATCTGCACCATTTTCTTAAACGTCCTTCACACTATCCAAGATCTAAATCTAATCAAAAACGTTGGAGCCATTATTTTTGAAAATTTTGAAAAGGTTCAGGGGCTATATGTGAATTACCCCCAAAATTAAAATTTCGATTTCAAATTCAAAGGGCCGCGACGTCAGCCAGAGCGATTGGCGAATATCCATTGTAGCATTAGTAACAGACAGACGGACAAACAGACACTCAGAAGGACGGACGTTTTGTCTTCATTCGATTTTTCGGTGTGAAGAACCTAAAACACATAGCTTTACACTACGTGATAGAGGATTTTCTTTGTACATTTATCGACTGGATTTATCCACCTTTTCGTTTTTAGGGCCCGGTAATACGTTTTTCTGTTGAAAATTCGCCGTTTCTTCGCTCAGCATTACATACCTTTCTCTCTACTCCATAGGGAGAAAGTGTAAATCGAAACCAAGGAAAACGGTTTGTAACAGAAATCATCGAAAATATATATATACAATTTTCCCTTCTCCTGAGGAGACTAAATGTTAGATAAATTAGTACGGGTATGGGGGACGGAAAGATGGGAATATATTAATATTGTTTTATATTGAAATTACTCATTATGAATAAATCTATTGAAGATATACTATACAAATCACGGAATACGTACTAAATTGAAATGTAACTTCACATAACTATAGATATTAAGTTGTTGTAATAGAGTTGTATAGTTGTTATTGTCAATTGGTATGCATAAACTAATTAAATGGCAGTAAAAAAAGTATTACGTAAAGCTCACTAGACTCTTCTGTACATTACAGCGTGAATCCCTGGTAAACTACGTGTTCACTCGTTCGAATGTTGACCAAACAGTGCTACCAAAGGTCAATCAGACACCTGAAGATTTAAAATCCGATCAGCTTTTCGCAAATTCGAATGATTGAACGCGCGTAAACGTTCGGTTGAAACGCCGCATCAATCGTTCTCACCAGTACAGTAGAGGCAATTTATTTAAGAGGTGACGTCACCACTGCGTGCCCAAGAGCGTATATTCCCCTCCGACTATGCAAATGCGAATGTTGGCCAATTACTATAGTGAGCAAAGTGTAGGAGAGGAAATGCGGCAGGAGAATGTAGTGACGAGACCTCGAAAATGAATTTTAATCGCCTATTGTTGTACCTTTAATGTACAAGATATCTCAGAATTAATGTTACAAACTTCTAGAGCAGTAGAGGTGTCTAAAATAATTACTTTTTGCCACTGAACAAATAAACTATATTGCGTATAATGGAGTTATTTTAATTTGTACATGTCGGATTGTCCCTGATTTTTAGGCAATCCTGTACTCACGGCACGCCACGTTCAGACGCAGTCAAGGAGATTTCATATGCTAGCCGAAAATCTGCGCATACAGAGTGGCCTGAAAGTAAAGAGGAAGTCACATATGTATATAGATATAACTTTGTTGTATGCAATTTCCCATTATATATTCACCTGTAACAAATTATTATGGACCCCTCTACATGACCTGCAGAATATAGTTTTGTATCATTTTGAAGAATCGAATTTGGTAACATTTAATTTGAGGGATTCTGAAGTTACAAGCAAAGGATTGAATGCTGGAAAGCCAATGTGTATACGCTAGAACACCAACAGCAAATTTAAGCTCCCAAGAGGATTAGGTACATGATACAAAGATTTTATTGTATACTGGAACGTCGAACAATATTCCTACAGGGTCCTTAGCGGTACAACTACTGGCGTCAAAAAGTCTCATGCGACTTATTAATGTGCCAACAAACCATCTTGAACTAGAATTTGGTGTGTTAAATGGTATAAAGATGAAAATGTACAAAATAATAGAAGTGCCGAAAAACCATGGCGATCTGGCAGGTTTTGGTAAGTTCGTGTCTGTAATTTTGTACGATGTCACTTATAGATATTGGGGGCGAAGCACAGATAACACTAGGTTGATCACAACAACAACTTGCGGATCTGCATAATGCCAGAGAGTTGACGATAAAATTTATTTCCCCTTTTGAATGAGGCGTTTTGTCGGAGCTAACTGGAGAATAATTCGTAACTCCGGTTACACTACTGCGCAGTTTTCCGTTTTTTTCTGCGATCAATATCAGCCCTACTAATAAAAGCTTGGTGTAACTTCGTTAAAACACGCTTATTCAGGGAATAGTTACTTCCAGCGTAAGTTAGGAATAAGGATGGATTAAATTTTTACCATAATAGCCGCTAAACCGTGGCTTAACTAGTTCTTCTTAAAAACGGAATCAATGCTTGGCAACGTTGCTTCATACACAGTCGTTGGTGTATTTTGTTTATTCTTTGGTGCCTCTGTAAGGACTCGGCAGGAACTTCGCGTCTTGTTTGAATTTCACATTTTTTCCTGAATTGTGTTTTTGCATTGGTAGTTAGAGAAATCATATTGATGAACAAATTGATTTTGAAATAAGATGATTTTGAATGCTGGTATCCGTTTACAAAAAATTAACTTAATGACAGAAAGCGCGTGTGCAGGTTAAGGATAGATAAATGATTGAGAAAGAGCAGTTTGAAAATGAAATCTGACGAATATCATGAGAAAAAGATGTGAATTCGGTGAAATAAATAAACTGTGTGTTCAGTAAGTTTATGAATATAACACACATAATGCATTTATAACACTTTTTTAAGTTTTCAATGTTTCAATTGTGAAAATTTTAAAAATTTGTCTCTAAATCTGAATAATAATATAATTATCCCAAGAAACACATTCTAAAAGAATTTAAAATTGATTCTTTAAAATCCTGTATTCATATCACAAACAACTTTTATAATTTACTTATTT